TATATAAATAAGGGTTTGAGAGTTAAAACAGTCATTATAAAATGTACACGAAAAAATATCATTTTTATTAATTAAAGTGTGAGAAGTTTAGAAACTGCAAAACGATATCAAATAAATATATGAGAGAAAATAAATAAATAAATAAATTTAGAGATAATTATAAAAGTAAATTAATACAAATTTTATATACACAAAAAAAGTAATTTTTATTAATAATATAGTTGTAGAAATATATATTTTTTAAAATATCATAATATTAACAAAAGTATTTATTAACTTTGTTAAAAATTAAGATGTAACGACTCGCCTGGCCGTCACACAGCAATAACACAGCACCACGCAGATAAGAGCATGCATATATATAAGCAGCTAAAATATATACACAAGGTCTAGCCTGGGGCTTAAAATCAATATACAAAATACAGTCCAATTGCTACACTAAGTAGCTAAAACAACAAAATATCAAATCTACATCCACTGCATCTGTCAACTACAAAACTTCCTCTACACACCAGCCTATCCCTGCTCTACTCCCATACATAGTATGATCATTGCAGTTCAAACCACATGGAAACAACAAAGGGTAAGCTAGTGAAAAGAATCAACTTATACACATATAATTACAAGAATTATAATCAACTACAACTATCAGCATATCATCTAGTTCAACAACATCAGCATACAATACATCACAACATATATCTCACATCATTCAGCAATAACAGCAGTAAACAAATAATGTGTCGTCACGCATATCAGCTCAGAGATCTCCTACAACAGCTCAGCCTTACGGCCTACAATAGCTCAGTCTTTCAGCCTACAACAGCTCATACGGCCTACAATAGCTCAGCCTTACGGCTTACAACAGCTCAGCCTTACGGCCTATAATAGCTCAGCCTTACGGCCTACAACAGCTCAGCCTTACGGCCTACAACAGCTCAGTCTTATGGTCTACAACAATTTATACCAGCATGTAGCACAACACAGTATAACAGCAATAACAACATACAGCACAACTCAACATTATATAGCACAGCTTAAACATCATAATTCAGCATACAATTCAGCTCGGCTTAACAACATTAATCAGCATATAAAAACATTCGGCACACAACAACATATAATAGCTTATATCGACATATAACAACATATATCAGCATATGAACAAAGATCACATCCATGCCCGGCACACTCATGGTCGCGCTCGGCGTGACCCAACCAGAGAGCACCAAAGGCTCCAACATGCCCGGTGCAATTCCAATTGTGCCCGGTGTGCTAGGAGGCAGAGACTCCAAAGAATCTCACACGCCCCGCGTGCCAAACCCGCGCTCGGCGCAAGGAAGGCAGAGACCTCCCCAAGGTCTCACGCCCGACGCAATACAATTGTGCTTGGCGCCACCCCTGGCAGAGACTCCTAAGGAGTCTCCATGCCCGGCGAGACGTAGTCATGCCCGGCGCCACACCAGAACCCCAACAAAGTGAGTCATTGACTGATAACGCGCCGGGCGTGGTCCAACCACGCCCGGCGTGGGACATCCAGGGGCATCCATCCTCCAGCTCGCCCGGCGCACACCACTTGCGCCTGGCGGGCTCGACCATTGGATCCCTCTGATGGTCACGCGTCCGACGCCAAGAACTGCGCCCGGTGTGCTACCACGTAACAACTTTCCAAGTTCAAAAATTTTCATCAAAACCTACAAAGATCAACAGCCCAAGGACATGCAAACCAACCAAAATGCCACATTTTCATCAAACAACCCAAAAGCCAACTCATATTCAGCATGCAACCATCAAACAAGAAAAACTCCAAATTTCACCCAAAATCCCGAAACCCCGAAAACGATTTTCCTTCAATCTCAGCCAACAATCATCCAATATCAGTCCACCAATGAGTTTCTAAACTCATTTCCACACAGAATCCAACAAAACCTAGCTTTCCTTACCTCGATGTGAAGATTCCGAGCTCCGGAAAGAAAAAAGGAGAAGAAGATGAGATGGCTCCGGTTCAGCTAGCTCCGCCTAATCTTTGATCAGCACCTTCAACCACAAGGTCACTACAAGGAAAGACTAAGAAATCAAAAGTGAGGATGGGGCCAAGAGAGTAATAGTAAAAATGTGAAAGAGTAACAATTGAGAGGAAGAGAAGAGAGGAACGGGTTTCATATAATCTCTTTTCAGAGTTTAACTACATTAAGATTAAATATTACTAAAAATATTAATTTGCTCATTCTTATTTCGCTCCTTTCTAAATCATCCGAATGAACCGAGCCTTAACAATTATTTTGAGTACCCGTACTTGAAAAGTGACAAAATAATACATTTTAAAAAATGGAGGATTATTGACATATTCTTTATTGTATTTTTTTAATACAAATTCCCCTAATTGCTAAACTTATTGTAACAAAAAAATATTATCATTTATAATTCATTAACATATTTACTTAAAATTTATTATTTTAAGAACAATTTTTTTTAAAAATATAAAAAAAATAAGAAATATCGGAGTAGAAAAGAAGTTACTATTACATTAAAATTATAGTTTTTTTATTTATATTTTATAAGAATGTAATACATCTACCTCTCACAAAATGAATACCAATAAATATACGAAAAATATAAATTTTCCTAATAACTAAGAATGTCTGATAATAACTTTTCTAAATTTTATATCAAACGTGGGAATGCGTCATTTTAAAATTTACTTCTTCATGAATAATTTTACAAACTTAAAAAAAAAAACGCAATATATATTTTTTTACAGAAAAAATAAACACAAGCTTAAGAACTGATAATTTCAAAATGATTATTTATCCGTTTTACCATGTCAACATAATCTATTTCAGCTAATAATTTACTATTCAATAATCGTGTGGAAACTGGCCGAATTAACCTACCTCTAAAGCAATTGGCTTGAGTGTTGACGATGACCATTGACCGACCAATAAGAACAATTCCAAAAATATATATTAAAGCAGGGGTAAATGCGGAATATAAAGTAAATGCCTGTGGGAAGTACGAACGAGTAAATTCAAAATTAATCTTCTTTAAATCGAATATTTTAGTCAAATTTTCCAAAATCGCAAAGTCAATCTCTAATTTTATTAAAATAGTCAATTATAAATACATTCATTATATCATCGGTCAGTAATGATTAATTTAAAAATATATTTAGAATAATTTTAATTAATTAATAAAATAATTTACGCCTCTCTTTAAACTCTAAAAACATTTATTATTAAAATAATATAGTTATAGACTTATAGTTATAGCTATGCACTGAAAGAATCATTCGACGCTCTGTCTCTCTCTCTGAGTTTGAAATTAGCGATTGAATTTGGGCGGAAAAGGTGAGAGAAAATGCACGATTTCTGCTTCACGATTCCGTACGGATTGATGTTAGTGGGTGGTGGACTGTTCGGATACATAAAGAAAGGAAGCATAGCCTCTCTCGGCGGAGGAGTGGCTTCCGGTTTGCTTCTCATCGTCGCCGGTTATCTCAGCCTCAACGCTTTCGGAAAGCGCAAGAACTCTTACCTCGCTCTCATCCTCGAGACCGGTATCCTTTCTTTTCCTTCCTTCCTTCGATCTCAATTCTCAAACCAGATTTCATCTTTTCCCTCTCCTACTCATGGATGTCCATACATATAAATATATTGGATTCCTTTCATATTCTCTCAACTCTGAAATGTTGGATTTGGATTGAACGAATTCACTCTCTCTCTCTGAGGATGTCGTGATGATATTTGGATGAATAATTCCATGTTTTCCTAAACAATCAGCCTCATGATTGCGTAAAGAGACACTTGTATTACTTATCGGGAAGAAGTTGAGTCGGTAAAACGAATCAAGTTCATGTCGTAAGTTAAAACTGACTTATGGAAAAGTTGAATGAGAGTGATTTATTTTACCCTCTAGATTCATTTTATTCTTGTGTTTCTATAAGTGTTTGTCGAGAAGTTTATCTGAACTAGATCTAAGTGCTTTTTCAGAGGTTTATCCAAGATATTAAACGACGGGGCTTTTTCATTTGCTACTTTCTATTTTAAGTGATTAACAGGATTTGTTAGGTTAGGTGTTAAGTGTTAGAGGGAGGGAAAGTGATACGTTGATGTGTTGTTTGTTATAGTCAAATAGTTGTGAAAAGAGGGTGTCTGGACAATATTGAATGGAAAGGGCGCATCAATGAATGCATGTTGCCTGATCAAGATATGACTGGTGCTGCATGGTTTTCTAGTTTCCATTGCGTATCAGACTTGGATCTTGCCCCAGACAGTGTTGTCTTTCGTACAGTTTATGCGATGGAACATGGTTCTTTCGATAACTCGAACTGTTTGCAGTAGCATAGCCCAGGTTTTATAGAATAGAAAGATAATTATAAAATATCAAAGGAGGGGGAAGTATTTGTAGCAAATATGACTCCATTGGAAGTAAAATTTTATAATAAGATCTTTTGGATTTAAATGCTTACAAGTATAACACGCTTATTACAATGAAAGTGTATATTCATCAAGAAAGAAGATTTGCTGAGAAATATGTTCATTTATGGTAGAGTTGAGCATGTGCTTTAAGGAGTGCCCCTATTGTTCGAAAAGACCCAATTAATAGTTTAAGATAAATGTGTCTCGACGAACATGCAAAAAAAATAAAATAATACAGATAATAGCTGAATTTATAAAATCCCAATTCTCAAGTCTCCACCTTTGAAGAATGGTGACAATGGCAGTCTTTTTAAGATGGATAGTTTGCATGTGACATAATTGTTTAGGAAAGAAGAATTATTTGCTCATGTTTAAGGGCTGATGACTTTTAGTGAATGGTAAAGTATTATTTGGGCAGACATTTATGATTTACGATCAATATATAAGATCAATGGATAACCCTGTATTAGTATCAGGAATGTACGTTTGTTACTTTGTATTCATCTGACAAGCTATGTTCACTGAATTAATTATGGTCCATATTAGCGGAAGTAATTTTCTCTCTCTCTCTCTTTTTTTCTTCTAATTTGAATACTGTAAAACAGTTTGTGCAGCCGTACTAACTTGGGTCATGGGACAGCGATATTTGGAAACATCCAAGATTATGCCTGCTGGTCTTGTTGCAGGAATCAGGTAATCAAAGGACTGATCAGAAGTTCCGAAACTTGTATTCTAAACAGTTTTATTCTGAGAGTTGTAAGAACTAAATTTAAACTTCAAATTGTTGGATAAGTTGTTAATTTTTAGATTATAAATCCATGAACATATCTTTTCTGAAAACTGAAAAGTAATGCATCCATGAAAATAAATTTGTCCTTTAAACGTTTTAAAAAATCAAAAGGCGTCACCATTCCCATTTATTTTGAGAATAAACGAAATATTTTTGTGTGCTTATCCCGAACTCTTTTTGTGCAAGTTGTTCTAAAATTTGTTTTAACTCCCCATTACTTGGTCTATGTTTTGTCCAATTGCTCCGCATCTTTGACCAAGCACTATTACAATTGACTGATTTTTCTTGTTTGTTGATCTTAATGGTGTCTACACTTAGTATATACATTTGTAGGCATTTATTAAAGTTAGTGTGTCTGTTATTTCTGAAGTGCTGCTTATGGGTGTGTATTTCCCTAGTAGAGCAATGTATGTTGTTTGTATCTGAAGACATTTTTCTGTATTTTTCTTGCAGTGCTCTCATGACTCTGTTTTATCTCTACAAACTAGCAAATGGTGGCAATCATCTCCCCACCAAGGCCGAGTGATGATAAAATGATATATTTTATATTTGCTTACTATAATGCAGATATGTTGGTTGACCTGCATGCCTTGGATGGCTGAATATATCATTGTACTTTTAGTGATTTCAGAGTTTGGAGCAAAAAAATAGTTGTTGTCGTCGTTGTCTTTATACATGTAGGATAATTGTGCCAGTATCACTCTCTAAGCAGTTATTTTTATTCCTCCTCTCCTTCTTCTCCTAGCATACCTTACTACTGAGGTTGCCTAAATGCAAAACTGGCTCTTATTTGTTGCATACTCTACAAACTCGATGGGAATTACAATTGAAATGTGTTAAGACTTATTATTTGACTGATCATCAAACTTTCATTTCTTGCCTTGTTGGTGTGAGTCTACCTGAAATCGGAAATAAATCGTCAACAACTATTTGGTTCTGACATGGAATTAAATTATTAATTGACTTATTGGCTTATTGCATTAGCCAACACTTGGTGTGCTTATCTAACCATGAAACTTTTAATGAAAAAATTCTTTAAAATATAGTTTGCTTGTAATGCCCTCTAAGAGCATCTGCAATGCAACTCCCATTGCAGATGCTCTAAGGATTAGAAAATAATTCAGACAATAATTATTTATTTTGTTGCGACTTCATCCCAATTACTGGTATTTACAAATTATTTTGTGAAGAAAATATTAACAAATATTAAAACAGTTAAGTACTGTTGCCTTTTCTGGTCAGTTGTGTAACAAATGAAAACACTAGTAGTTTACAAAGACTAGTAAGACTTCATTTCTCAGGATTTTTTCACTCCGTTTGGACGTGAGGAATAAACAAATTTAGTTGTTTGATTTAAGAAAAATAGGTAAAAAAATAAATAAAAGAAAAATAATATTATAGAGTTGTTTTGTTCTGAATAGAAAGAGAGGAAAGACATTATAAAATGAGCTACATGAAATGTCTTGCTAATCCAATGTAATCGATTATGACATTTATCATAATTGATTATATTGACACCATTAATTGATTGAAAAAGTATCATAATCCATTACAACAATTCATTCAACATTATGGACAAAATCATAAGTGACCAAACAAAAGATTTGTTTATTGATTATGCTCTTTATAAGATACAAGAGTGAGATGGATATTGAGACACAAATTACCGGTGTGGAGGTACCAAAGTCATGAACAATTATTTAAAATAAAAATAAATTTTCACACATAATTACAAAGAAATAAGGGATTTATGATACCTATATACTTTTTATTTCTCTTTTCACCATTTTACTCCAATCAAACAATCACACACATTTTCATACATCTATTTTCATCTTTTCTTCTCTATTTCTCATATATTTCTCTTTTCTAAACACTATTATATTACTCTTTGATACTAAGAAATTATTAAATAAATATTTAAAATGTCGAATAAACCTGAAAACTTAACTATTTATTATATTTTTATCCTTGAATACATATAAATATTATTACTTTAGTCTCATATTATTTTGAGTTTTAAGCTAATATAATCGTGAATATGCACTTTTAGGGATGTATTTAATAATTTCTTAGTGTTAGAAATAATATGACAATAATTATAAATTTAAGGAACAATTTGGGTGTTATTCCATTTGTATACATGTGTATTTTATTTCTAGAATAAACAACCAAAGGTCCACTATAAACTAAGCTCTAAAGAAGCAAAATATGAAAACTATCTCATAATTAGTGTTACTTGAATCTGAATGAAGTCAGATTAATTGAAATAGAAATTAAACTTCAGTTCGATTTATTCCACCTAAGAATCTTTTCTCCAAAAAAATAAATATCACTTTAATTTTATTATAGTATCAATTATTTTATTTTTTTCTCCTGTTATAATGTTTTTCAAAAAATTATTTTATTATGTGGTTTATAATAAAGAAATTTAATAAAAAATATTTTTGCAAAATTATTGTTTTTTCAACAATTTATTAGTTATTTTAGTTTGAGTAAAATAATTTAAGACAATACTTATTGTATAAGATGAATATTACTGAACAAATAATTTTTCTCATTTTTTTTTATAAATTAATTGATTTTACTGATTTTTTTTTTATATAAAAAAATGGTTACCGCTAGCTTGCAAAAGATGCCGGCCAGTGGCTTTTTCATGGCGGTGCCTGCTTTTGTGGATCCAATTTTTTTTTTTCCTTTTCTTCTTTTGGTTTCTGTGCTTATTTATCTATACTACAAGAAATTTAAGTATTTATTTTTAAATGAGGTATTTTTATATTTATTTTATTATACAGTCAAATTTTTATATTGTGACAGATGGCTTATAAATTTTTATATTGAATAATGTTAATGTATTCTCTTCAATGTGTTATTTAACTAAAAAATTATTTTAATTATTAATAATAATATTTTTTTTAAGTATAATGAGATGTTTGTAAATTATTATCAAAATAAAATTTAGTAATTAAAATATTTTTAATTGTTGAAATACTTATTTTATGTTTTTGTCATCAATTTATCTATCTATCTATCCATTCATTTATTTATGTATTTATAGATATATAAATAGATAGAATTATTAACCATTCCTTTTTTTTTTCTTTTTTTCTTTTTTCACAATTTTCAGCCTCGCAATTTCTTCTCCCATTACTAGCGTGTTTGATTTAGATTTAAAAACGTAATTTTTCATTCTCTCTCCACGTTTACAAGACAATTTACGTGGAAGTTATAATTTTTTGCTTTCTATAAACGTGAATTTTCACGTCCAAAAGCTAAAGTAAACACGCAAATAATAATTGCTGCTCTTTCGGGTGAGTGTTTGTTTCTAAAAAGTGTTATTTAGTACAAATCATTTTCTTACGATTTTTCACGAAAAGATGTTTTAATTAACAAAATGATAGTGATGATGAATCATGGTAGAGGTTTGGATTAATGGATAAGAGAGATAAAATTAAAACACCAAACACATTTTGTTAAGAAATTCAGTTTTTTTATTATTTTTGAAAATGAGATGCTCCTCTTCATGTTTCAACCTGGCTGCTGTCCTGTGGATTCATCTCAAAGGCATTTTTCACCTCCAGATTCCCATCTCCTTTGTTTCCTTTCTCCAAATAATAATAATAAAACTATTATAATCAGTCAACACTGCAAGATTATTTATGTAAACATTATATTCTAAGCTAACATCAAAGACATCATTGGGCTCAAATTAGTTTGCCCATACTTTTCAGGAGCCAACCCTGCTGTTTTTGTTTGATTCTATTTCACATCACATCTCGATACTAATAATTTTTAAATCCTATCTTATATGTGGTCCTTTTCTATAACATCATTGGGAAATAATATTTCATAATGATCTCTGTGCTTCAAAAGAGATTAATCTCCTTATATCCTGTTCTCAGTTGTAAGATTAGTGAAGGTAATAGAAACCCTCCTTAATAAATATGCCTTATATGCCATATCTTTTGCACAAATCTTACACCTAACTATTAGGTGACAGCAATTTGATATATATATATATATATATATATATATATGACATAATTTAATAGTAACTCGTGCCTTAATTTTTTTACAGAATCTGTTCCTCTTTGCAACAAATGAGACCAATAACATACGGCATACCCTCTTCTCTCTAAGATAACACATGCTATGAGTGCTTAGTAAATTTGCTTTTGGGAGCCAATTAAAGAGAAATTGCGACAAAATAATGTCACACCTTATTTATGTCAAAACATTATTATATTATAATGCAATTTTAGTAAGAAATTTTTTTAGAAATAATATCTTAAATACATATTAATAAGATCTGTATTAAATATAAATATATATTATTAAAATAAAATTCTTATTCTAATTAAAAAACAATACCAACTATAATTTAAAAAAATTCTACTTAAGTTTGTTCTTTTTCTTAATATACATGGCCGCTTTTATCAAGAGTTTTCATTTGTACACTCCGATTAGACGTCAAAGCAAAGGACAAGCCTTCTTACAAAAGCCCCACATAAATACTCTCCCAAGTCATAAGAGCATTGCAATCTTGGAAAGCTGCAAAAAGAAATCTTGAAACATGAGTCTACTTCTCTTAAGTTTACTCTTGCTCATCCCAATCCTTCTTCTGCTAAGAAGAAAAAGAAAACCATCCAAAAGGGTCCCTCCAGGTTCACTTGGAATACCTATTATTGGTCAAAGCCTTGGCCTTCTTAGAGCCATGCGTGCCAACACAGCAGAAAAATGGGTTCAAGAAAGAATCAACAAGTATGGTCCCATTTCAAAGCTAAGCCTCTTTGGAAAACCAACAGTTTTGATCTATGGACAGGCTGCGAATAAGTTTATATTCTCCGGTGGTGGCAACACAATTGTTAACCAGCAAACACAGTCCGTCAAAATGATCCTTGGTGACCGGAACTTGCTGGAACTGTGTGGTGAAGATCACAGCCGAGTCAGAGGTGCACTTGTCTCATTCTTGAAACCAGAATCATTGAAGCAATATGTCGGGAAAATGGATGAAGAAGTTAGGAGGCACCTTGAGATGCATTGGCAGGGGGAACAGCAGATCAAGGTATGTACTACGTTGTTACAAGTTACAACTTAATATCAGTTAGATTAAACTGTAGTCTGATCTGTCATATGGAGATTAGATAGGACTATGATGGTCTCGGAACATGTTCCCAAGTCTATGTTGTTAGATTTGCTTCCAAGTCTCTTATGCCCCTTTCCATATGTCAAGAAATTACATGTTCTGAGAGTAGTCTTAACCCCGACAGTAGTCTAATCTGTCATATGGAGATTAGTTATAGATTAGACTACTATTCTAAACCCCACCAGTAGTCTAATCTGTTATATGGGGATTAGTTAGGACTATGACTCTTAACCCCAACAGTGGTACAATCTGTCATACGGAGATTAGTTAAAAATTAGACTATGGTTTTTAACCTCAACAGTAATCTAATCTATTATAATATGGAGATTAGCTAAGATTAAGGATGACAAAAATACCCGCAATCGCGAGTATTTGTGGGTAAAATTCGCTAAGGATAATAAATGAGTAGGCTAATTAGGTACTCACAGATAATGGAGATAGATAATTTTTTACCGTTTATAAACGGGGCGGGGTAGGTATAATGATATTCATACCCGCGGGTACCCGTTTAATAACATTTCTTAAATATCTTAATTATCCTTGTACCACATAACCTTAAAACTACACTCTCTCATCTTATTTTTTTTCCATAGTCGCACAGTCCACACATTAGTCATAAAACATTATGAGATTGAATTATTGTAACTTTGTGATATTAGACTTTCACTTACTTGTGAGATTGATGTATTTTAAGTTATTAATTATCTTGCTT